GTTGCAAAATGTTGTAAAATACGGAAGATATAGCCTTGCAAAGTTTGCAAATTTTGTACACTTTAGTATTGCGTGCGGAAATTGCTACCATTTTTGGCCCAAATGTGGTAGCGATGTCCGCACGCAATACAAAAAGTATACAAAATTTACGAACTTTGCAAGGCTATATATTCCTCATTTTACAACATTCTATAATGGGAATTGATTATAAATCTTAAAATTCAAAAAGAGTTGCTCTCAATAGGGCCATCGTTCTATTTGTTCATTCGAGATTTTGACCTCTCGGTAGCTAAACTTCTCTTCGTTCGATTTTAGGTTCTCAATCGGGTTAAGAAGTACGAACAGGCGTCCAAATATGCGAGTAATGAACAGCTTGAGCAGATATCAACCTCTCGCATTATCACAGAGCGTGAGGAGGAAAAACAGAATCAAAGACGGTGGAGTAATTTCTTTAACCCCAAGAACCCGAAGCCGGGGAAGAAACCCGGTCGTACTCCGACTTTCCGCCGAGATAATCTACGATCCTCTATGACCGGGAAGGGTTCGAAAAACCCCCCTAAGAGTACCATTGAAAATCTTGTTGCCGGTCCACACTCGGCAGCGTTCGCAAAACACTCTCAAACTGCTCCAAACTTGCATGTGACGGCAAGCGGCAGACCACGATCGTTTACGAAGGACTCCCCGGGCTCAATTCGGAAGTCTCCGACCGTCATCTCGATCGATTCCGAAGAACAAAAAACGGAATCGCCCGATGAAGTAGAGATCCAGAACGAAGACATCAATTTCGAAGTGGACTCTGACCTGGAAAATTTTGACAAGGAGCCTGAAGCATGGAGCGTTACAGCGGAGCCTTATATGTTGAAAAAGATGAAAAAGAATGAAATAAAACGGCAAGATGTGATACTCGAACTCATCCAAACCGAAGGACATCATGTGCGAACTTTAAAAATCATGCAGCAAGTGTTTTATCGTGGCCTTCACAAGGTCGCCAACTATCCGGAAGAGCGCTTAGATGAGCTGTTTCCAAGGATTAATGACTTGGTCGATATTAGCGCAAGGTTTTATCGCAATTTGAGATGCCGCCAGGATGAAAGTGCCTCGGTGAAGATGATAGGTGATGTTATCATGAAACAGTTTGGTGGCGATAATGGAGAACTGGTTAAACAAGCATACGGAGAGTTTGTCAGCAAACATCCCGAAGCTGTGGCGTCGTATAAGGTAGGAGAACTAAAGCAGAACTACGAGATCCTGAGGCAGGGATTCTTTTAAAGAAAATTTATCACTGACTGCACCAAAAAAAACCCACATTAAATAGTAATAGTATGTCACACAGCGAAGGAGCGCTGAGTACATCCCTCTTGATTATATAAGTTATTCAGTGCTGCAGGTGGGAAAGGCAAAAAATAAGAGAATTTACAAATTTGTAAATGGGAACCTAAGAAAAGGGACTCAGCTGGGTGATGGGGAATTGCCAAAGACCCAGGGTTAAGGTATAACCGGCTTTTGAACAACCGGCCCCAGGGTACATTTCTTGTGTGTTTTTTTCTCACTTCCTATCAAAGTCTGGTTAATGTAACGTTAACTATATCGATCTTTTTTACAGCACTACTTTAAGACGGACAAGAAGTTTTCAAATTTTATCAAGGTTAGTAGCAGGGGTGGAAAAAATATTTTACTCTCTGGGATCGCAAGAGAACATTGAAAATTTTCTGCAAATAACTGTGTGATGCAAAAAAATAGCACTATACCAGGGGGATCCATGCTCCCCAGAAAATTTTGAAAATTAGGTGTTGACATTTTCTGTAATTTGTTCTGTATTACTGTAACGGTTATCGATTTATAGGCAAATACCGTGATAAAATTCAAATTCTGCACCTTTTATGTGTCAACATGCTGTGAATCTAACGAAAAATGTAGCCTTTGCTACAAATTGTCAAAACAAAGAAAACTAAAAAAAAAAACAAAGAAAACTAAATTTTGTCGCCATATTTTCTCATAATTTGGTAACCGCTACAGAAAAACAGAACAGTTTACAGAAAATTACAACCGAAGCGGAAGTGGGAAGGTTCTTGTATTTTGACTGTGAAGATAGCTATTGCGTTCAAGAATTTAAACACGAACCACTTATTTTTCAGAAATGTCATGGCCACCGAATTGTCCGACGTTTATCAGTGCCCGAGTGCTTCACATTGGTTACTCAAAGAATGACGAAATATCCACTGCTTCTTGAAGCCATTCTCAAAGTCACAAAATGTAAGTTATGAAAAGATGATTATTATACACTCACGCGCACTTAACCAATCAGTAATCGTTGAGAGGGTCACGTGCCGATCCAATATTTTACGATACTGGACAGGAACCTATTGGACAGTTGCGAATTGTGGCTTTTTTGATGGGTTTTTCAACCCTTTTCAGATGTTTTGTCAATTTCAAACACACGAAAAACGATATGGCAGAACAATGAAAAGAATTTGGGACATTAATACAGTTTTTTCTACCAGTTTTGTTTAAAATTATAAAAGCGCGGGAAAACTTGTCATCGCGAAATTTATTTGTTTGCAACAGCCTAGAAGTTAGTAATATTATTTTTTTCGTTAAAATTAGGTCGAATTTCCTTTAAACATACATGGAATTGAGTTTATTTATGCACACATATTTGTAAAAACAGGTTTATTAACTTTTTTAGTTATTTAAGCAAATTCGCCGCCGATATATGTAGTAATGTTGTCGCTGTATTAGTCTCGCTGTATTTACTTTATCGCTTATTGACAATTTTTGTCATAGAATTGTTTTGTTCGATATAATAAAACTCCTATTGGATTCATCTTCGCCCAATATGGCAAAATATTAAGTCGAGACTTCAATATTAGGCTCGACCTTCGGTCTCGCCCAATATTGAAGTCTCGACTTAATATTTTGCCATATTGGGCTCAGAAGAATCCAATAAGATATAATATTAGCATACGTAATAGTATGGCTTCAAGTGCAATTTGGAGGGAAAAAAGCATGCACGAGTGAGTTTTTCAAAGACTATTAATTAAAGAAGTCTTTGAAAAACTCGCGAGTGTACGTTTTTTCAAATTGCACGAGAAACCATACTAGTACTTATTAATTAATAATATACATGATAAAATTATGTAGTCACGTGCGTAAGTTACATTTAGAAGGAAATTAAGAAATTTGAAAAATGAAAAATTAAGAAAATTTAGAAAATTTTAAAAAATAAGAAATTGGCACTGTATTTCTTTTTTTGCACCTTATTCTATTATTTGGCGCTGTATTTAGAAAACAATCTTGCACTGCTCATAAGCCAATCAGAATTGAAAATTTTTGAAAATTAAAGCACTTATTTAATCACGATTGAAAGATGCAGCTAAAGCTGATAAGGTCGTGAATAACAAAAGTTAGAATATCTAAATACACTAATCTATACCTAAGAACAACATATATCTATTTAAGAGGCAATCTTTTTCAATGTCACGTATTTGCAATGAAAAGTGTTCAAAACCTAAAATCTTTTTGGCGTTCGTCTCAAAATTACTTCGTTTTAGCTTTATTCTCTAGTTTACAGAGTTAGCTACCTTTTTAAATGCATCTGCCGGTTGAGAAACATAAAATAATAGTTAAAAATTGTCAATGAAAATACAATTATCAATGATGCTTTAAAAGTGACGCCATATTTACAGCCATATAAGCAAAACTTACTGAACTTCAGACATCATGGCGTATCGTCTAAATCTCGTCATTTTAGCATTATTTTACAGATAAAGCACTAAACATACTTTTTAAGTTTGTTTGCCGATTGAGAAACGTATCGAAAAATAAAAATTTTGAATTTAGTCATACCTCAAGTGATATATTATACGCATTAGTTTTGAGCGCGTGTTACGTAACATACAAAAAAATCTCCTCTTAATATTAATTTATGGTTTAATTCTACTTAAGTTGTAGAGTTCCAGCTAACTGGTAGCCACTTGCTACTATTTTCTTTTTAAATTTTCAACCCCTGTCCTGGTCAAATGTAACCAGATTTCTGATTACGTTACCCAGACTATGGTAAAATAACCAAGAATTGTAACTGGGAATATTAGGTTAATGCAAATAGTATTATTTCTAAATTAGCCACGAAATTTACCAGAGTGTTTTTACAGTTCAACGCTCTCCGTCTCCGGAGTTCAACACTCTCCGTCTCTTTAATATTAAAACATACTTACACTTGATCATTCCCTTTTAGCATCCAACGCGGACCACAAAGAATTACAAAAGGCTCTTCTGCTTGTCAAGGTATAAAAATGAACCGTTCTCCTGGATTTAATATTTTGTATCTTATTTGCTGCTATACAAATGCGAAATAGCGGTGTCACTGATATTGTTGGGGATTTCTTTCAGGATGCCACGAAGGCTGTAGATAACGCAATTAAAGATTACGAGAAGCAATCGGTAAGATATACTGTGTTTATATATTCTCGAGGTCAAGTGCTCTGTTAGAAAATTGATTTTCACATTTTTGACATTCTACTCGGGCAAATTGTTCCCTTTGATCCCCCCCCCCCGTCCTCCAATCCCATATTTGGTCGCCCCTGTGTGCATAGCATTTATGCATGCAGGTCACTGTTTCTGCTTCCCTGCTGCTATTCTGATTTCTACCATAATGTCAGTTTGATTTTCACCCTTTCAGCGACTCAAGGATATCAAAATGAGAATGGAAAAAGGCAGTGTCGTATTGAAGAATGGTCAGAAGATTAAGGTACTTTCATTTTTCACAACTGCTCCTGGTTAGGTTTAGAATTGTATATTCATAGGCAGCCCACTAA